ACGCGCCTCTCCCCCTGCCGTGCGCGCGTGGCCCACCATGCACATGCAAGGTGCTGCATGTGGACCATCCCCGCTCCAGAAACCCCCTCTCGGGCCTTGCCAAACCAGAGCACGAGCAGGAACCAGCACAGGGGGACGCGGCCCCTCTCTGACAGCAGTGCCGAAGCAGCCCAAGCCAAGAGGAGGAGAAGGGAGATCACGGCACCGAGGGGGACGATGGCCAGGACCACCAGAGGTGAGGTCCTGCAGCCTCCCTGGGACGGGGCAGGGGAGCTCCTTGCCTAGGTGCCTGCCAGGTTGCTCGGGTTTATCCCATTTGCTTTAGCAGGTGCAACCCCATCACCCCCAGAGTACCACTTCCTAAATAGCGCTGAGATTTCATCCAAAATGCCTGTTCCCCTGCAATACGTAAGCACACCGAAACACGGATCTGGAGGGACCTCCCAGGGCGCCCAGTCCCCCTGTGCACAAGGGCAACGGGATGCACCACGCGCAGGATCCAGCGCCGAAGGGCAGAGCCCGCGGCGCAGGCACGGAGCAGGTGAAGGGCAGGGTCCCCGCAGCCTGGCGGGGACACTGTCCCCGGCCTGTGCCAACCCTGCTCTCAGCCTGCGTCGGCTGTGCCCACTCTCCAAAGGTCCCGAAAGGTAGCAGCAAAGAAACCCTTCAGCCTCACGAGGCGAATCAAGAGTTAGGAAAGGAGAGGGGTAAAACTGCAGAAGGAAAATCTTGCAACACTGGATAACAGGAGGGAAGGGCCAGCTTTCTCTCCCGCATCCTTGGACTTTGCCGCGTATCTCTGAACACATCCTGAGTCAATATTCACTGTGACTTGAGCAGTTCCTTTCTCCCTGTGTCCTACCCTAAACATGGCTGAAGAGGTATCGAGTCCCAGGAAAGGAGAGGGGTAAAACTGCAGAAGGAAAATCTTGCAACACTGGATAACAGGAGGGAAGGGCCAGCTTTCTCTCCCGCATCCTTGGACTTTGCCGCGTATCTCTGAACACATCCTGAGTCAATATTCACTGTGACTTGAGCAGTTCCTTTCTCCCTGTGTCCTACCCTAAACATGGCTGAAGAGGTATCGAGTCCCCGTTGGCGAGGGCCCAGGCTGGCACCCCCTAGAGCGATGCCCTCCTCTCCCAGCACCGCCACGTCCACGCTTGCCCCATCCCCGTTCTCCCTTCTCCAACAACAGGTTGGAGCTGGCGGTCAACGATTTCTTGCCGAAGGCATCGGCAAGGGGGCTGATATCGCCTGGCTCCACCAAAACACCTCCTCTGAAACATCCTCCGGCGCGTCAGCGGGACCTGGCCAGCGCAAGGAGTCCCCAGCGCGCGCCCGGCTCCTTCCTGCCCCATCGCCGCCAGTCAAGCCTGCTACTTCAATTTAAGGCGAGAAAAGCTGCTCTGTTTCCCCTAAGAAGCCCATTATTGTAGCTTAAAAATAAAAGGATATTAGCTCAGTCTGCTATAACCTATTTTTGAGAAAGCGGCGCTGGAATTTCTCCTTTTCTGCGCGTTTCCTTCCAAATCTGTTCTAGGCTTTGCGCCGCGCCGAGGCGAGCACGCCGAAGCGTTGGGAGCGAGCCGCGGCGCGCGCCGGCGAGCCCCAGCCGGGCCAGGCCAGGCCAGGCCATCCCGGATGATGAAATGTAAACACGGCTGCAGGAGCGAGCGGCTTTGAAGCTGCGGGCGCCCCGGTAAACATGCCGCTTCGCCTTAGGAGGCTGACTCAAGCGGGGCTTTTATTTGCACGGCTGCAAACCCAGCTTAGTTCCACTGCAGCGCACGGAGCCAGACACAGCCCGTGGCATTTTTTTGCGTTGTTGCAAGAATCTGACCCCGATTCTTGAAATTCTTCATCTCAAACTGAGCTTTCAAGCAAAAAGCTCCACGTTTCCAGTTTGTGATCACTGACTGACAGATCCACGCTGGTTTTTTTGTCCATCTCCCAGTTATGAACAGAGCGTGTCAGAGCAAGTGTTAGCAACGTGCAAGACCGTGTCCCTCCTCCAAACCTCCCGCCAAAGCGGAGAAGCGGCTAACACAGCCGGGGC